AAGAGAGTTACTCATTCTGTGAGATTCTTAAGAGTGTTAAGGAGTACCGGCCATTTCATCGGAAGGGCACAGTAATGATGATGTCACTGTTTACAGTTGTATAAAGACTTCATTACTAATGAAATAGAAAATAGAAAACCTTAGTCTTCATGAGATCCCTATGCAGTAGACTGACAAGGAGACATTATTCCAACTTTACAAATAAGAAGGTAAATTTAGAGAGATTAAACAACCTATTTAGGAATACATGATAGTCAATTTTGCTTCAGCAAAATCATCTGACTAGAAGTGTCAGATGGTAGTGGCGTTGGAAACAGTCTTTGCTTGGAAGGAAGGAGACTAATATTTATTGAGTGCTTACTCTGGCCAAGGCACCAGTAATATGTTATTTTACCTGGATTTTTTCATGGTATGTGGTCATGTTGCTATGGTGTTATGTATTATCAGTTTACCATTTCACATTACCATGTTGCAATTGAAATACCGAGGTTCAGAAAGGTTATGTGGCTTGCCCTAGGAAGAGGAAGAGATGGATTTAAACTCTGTCTTCTCTCACTCCAAAGTCCAGAAGTGCCGGGGATCATGAAGCAGAACTGTCTACTCTATTTTTCTGGTAGGGCCATCAAAATAGGGCTTTCCTGGTCCATCTCAAAAAAATAAGTAAAATAAAAATAAATCTCTACTTTCTTTGCTCACTTCTTTTGAGTTCCTCCTCAAACATATCAGGCAAGTTTCTACCTCAAGGCCTTTGCACTTGCTGCTCTTTTTCTGAAACACTCTCCCCCAAATTTTCACTTCTTTCTAGAATTTGTGTCTATCTCAGTGATGTCTTCCCTGGTCACTTTATTTCAGATGACTCCCCAGTCAGGCATGGTGGCTTACACCTGTAATCCCAGCATTTTGGGAGGCCCAGATGGGCAGATCACTTGGGGTCAGGAGTTCAAGACCAGCCTGGCCAAAATAGGGAAACCTCATCTCTACTGAAAATACAAAAATTAGCTGGGCGTGGTGGCACACCCTTCTAGTCTCAGCTACTCAGTAGAGTGAGGCAGGAAAATCGCTTGAACCCAGGAAGCAGAGGTTGCAATGAGCTGAGATCATGCCACTGCCCTCCAGCCTGGGTGACAGAGTAAGTGAGACTCCATCTCAAAAAATTAAATAATGAAATGACTTCCCCTCCGCAACCAGCATTCTCTTTTCCTCTTTTATATTCTGCCTCTCCCTGATATTCCTAATACGTATTATTGTCTAACTACAATTCACTTATTAATGGTATTTTTGTCTCTCTCAGGATTTTTGTCTATTTTGTTCTCTCTAGCACCTAAAACAGTGCCTGACACACAGTGGGCACTCAGCAAGTATGTGCTGAGTGGCTGAATGAACAAATTAATGAGGAAATTGGTGGAGCAGGTGGATCTTTTTAGGGACATGATCTTTTGATGATTTGGAGCCTCAGTTTGCTGGATAAGAAGCTCCATTGTGTTTGTACCTATGAAGAAAATCAGACTTGGGAGAATCAGTCACAATAATTAAACATATAGGTGCTTCTGTGTTCTAGCTTTTTGTTTTTTCATAATGAGCCATACCTGGCCCAGATTCAGCACCAGCTGCTGGAGAATGGAGTTCTCTTCTTGGTGTACATGTCTGCTCAGGAGCCCAAAGGCTCCTTAGGGGAGTGCTCAACACACACGGAATTAGAGCAAAGAGAGCTTACTCTTAAGAGTTATTTTTGGCTGAGTGTGATGGCTCACCCTTGTGATCCCAGCACTTTGGGAGGCCGAGGCCACTTGAGTCCAGGAGTTCAAGGCCAGCCTGGGCACCATGGCAAGCACCTGTCTCTACAAAAAATACAAAAAGTAACTAGGCATTGTGGCATGCACCTGTAGTCCCAGCTACTCAGGAGGCTGATGGGGGAGGATCCATTGAGCCTGAGAGGTAGAGAATGCAGTGACCTATGATCACGCCACTACACACCAGCCTGGGTGACAGAGACCCTCTCCTCCCTCTACCCCGTAAAGAGAGTTATTCTTAAAAAACACTTCTCATTTATGATTCATCTGTATATATGGTCATTTTGGTCTGAAGAATAAGGAAATACAAAAAGCCCCATTCTTTGTTACTTCTTTCTTTCTGGCTTTTTCTCTGTTATGTGTGGGCTATCATCTGTGTGTGCATTTGCCATTGACAGCCCCTTCATTTCATCATTTCTCCCTTTCATGTTCCAAGTCTTAATGCTACAGACTTCCTTTCACTGACTTTCCTTTAGATGGTGCTTCACTAAGAGGCCTATCTTTTAAAGTCCTATGCAAAGTATTTCAAGCATAATAGACTCCCTTGTAGTTTTCAGCTGAGAACATTTCCTCATTGCTTAAATGAAATGAAATTGCTGATGAGTATCTTTTGCCATTGGGCCTAGTCTAACATTTTTTCATGCTGGTAAGCACCAATCAACAACCTCATAACCTCAGCGTACTTCATAGACATAATCCCATCTGGTTAGACTCAAAGAACATTGGACTTCATTTTAAAATATGACAACTACGTCATGGGCTGTAGGCATTGCATCTCAGTGTTTTGCCTTTCTTCTCTCAAGCCTGCAGGTCTGCATTTCCAAGGCTGGCGTCTTACATGAGGAGCAAGTGAGCTTCAGTCCTAGCTTCTCCATGACTCCTGTGTGCCCTCCAATTAGCTTGACCTTTGAGACTGACCTTTCCTCGACGTTTGATTATATTACAGTAGCGAGCTTTGGGTCAGCATGAATGACTTCCTTATGAATTCATACTTTTTGGTATTCAGAGAAATCAGCTTTTTACACCACGGTGCGAATTGGGATTGACTGGCACATCTTTTGATGATGCAACTAACAATGTCTGGTGGCATAAAGCAGGGCTGTGTTCTGTACCCCCTTTTTACACATTCAACATTAATAATTTGAAACTGATTTTGGTTAATTTCTCCTGCCTATGGAGAATAGGCAAATGAGCCTCCTCCTGTACATTAATATTAATGTCAGAGCCTAGAAGTGGCCTCTGTGGGTGGTTCATCCTGTGATGAGACCACTAGCAGAACAACTAGTTTTAGATGAACAATTTTGCAATTAAAATAATTATTGTGGTGAGTGTTCCCCACATGTCACAATCCTAAATTTAATAATTCCATTCAACCAGCTAATTTTTTTAGTCATTTAAAGCAACAATATCCCAACTGTTTAACCCATTCATGCCTAAGGTTGCAATTCTTTTGAATTTTTGCAATCAGAACTTGGTGATGTCCTTGAAGAGTAGAATGTAAATAACTCCTGCCTGCTTAGCATTCCAATAATGGAACACTAGGCATAAGTTACATCATTATTGAAAAGAAAGTGTTAATATACTCTTCCAATCTGTATGGATTCATCAGTAAATGACACAGAGTGACATTATATTAGTATATTATTTATATTATAAAGATACATAAAATAGCAATTTAAATGAATGAGATAAAAATGAAATAAATGATTTATTTATTAATAGAACAATATCACTCGGTTATGATGATGAATGTTCTGGCTGCTCATTTTAAAAATCTCTTGCTAATCCTGATGGCTTCATGCTCTCATTAACTAACATCAAAGGCAAAATACACACTCAAAGCAAGGATCAAAATTAATGAGTGGAGGTAAATCAATATTTTAAAAAGCTTTTTATTAATTTCAGATTTGAGAGTTGACTTTCTGTCACCTATGATCAGATCACTGTTTTACCTCACTATGCCACTGATAAAAAGCTTGTCTGTTCTAAGAATTAGAGAAGTTGGCCGGGTACCATGGCTCATGCCTATAATCCCAACAGTTTGGGAAGCCGAGGAGGGCAGATCATGAAGTCAGGAGTTTGAGAACAGCCTGGCCAATATGGAGAAACCCTGTCTCTGCTAAAAATACAAAAATTAGCTGAGTTGGGTGGCGTGCCTGTAGTTCCAGCTGCTTGGGAGGCTGAGGCAGAAGAATCCCTTGAACCCGGGAGGCAGAGGTTGCAGTGAGCCGAGATCGCGCCACTGCATTCCAGCCTGGATGACAGCAAGACTCCATCTCAAAAAAAAAAAAAAAAAAAAAAGAATTGGAGAAGTATGGCTTTGCCAGACAAACTTTGTTTGCTTGAACTTGTGTTACTGATATCATCTCTTTAATCCTCTCAATTTCATGAAAGCTCATTTAATTAAAACTGGATGTTATATTCCATACATCCACTTAACTAGACCCTTCTGAACTCTAACATGTGCTCATTTGGTGAAAGTGAACAAGAATGTGCCAACATCCTGTGTAGGGAACTTCCACTTTTCCCTCAAGATACCCAGAGAACCACAAGGGGCAACAAGGGCAGGTAACCATCTTGCAAGTTGAGCACGTGGGATGCCTCTGTGTCAACTGGAATATGTAAGCAGTATTGAAGTTTAACTTCTTTCATACTGTTGCATATAAATATAGGCATCACTTCTAATATTTTTCCATACCAGTCTCACATGGCCCGTGTGGTGTACTGACTCCATTTGGAGAAATATTTGTTACTAATTCTGGGAAGTTCAATGGGAACCAGTGCTGCTCATGAATGGATGTCGCAGATGAGAGCTGTTCCCCAAACTCTGGGCATTTATGTAATACAGTCACAGGTTTGCTTCACTTATATACTATCTATCTATCTATCTGTCTATCTATTTTTTTTTTTTTTTTTGAGAGGGAGTCTTGCTCTGTAATCCAGGCTGGAGTACAGTGGTGCCATCTTGCCTCACTGCAACCTCCACCTCCTAGGTTCAAGTGATTCTCCTGCCTCAACCTCCTGAGTATCTGGGACTACAGGCACGCACCAAGCCCAGCTAATTTTTGTATTTTTAGTAGAGATGGGATTTCACCGTGTTATCCAGGATGATCTCCATCTCCTGACCTCGTGATCCACCTGTCTTGGTCTCCCAAAGTGCCGGGTTATAGGCATGAGCCACTGCGCCCAGCCTAATGTCTATATTTTTATTAATTAATATTGATAACTGTATTGACTTACTTTTAAAACTTTATTTAAAAAGGAAACACCACATTCCTGACATGAATGGGGAAATCCATACTATTTTTCCTTCTTTGTCTTCCATGAACATTAGTTATTCTTACCATGGCCTGAACACAGTCCCTGCTGTTAACCTGTGGCTGAGCTCTCCTGACCTTGCAGCAAAGATCGGACTGATTCTTGCACTGCCTACTGCAATACCCAGAAACAACCAGCATTCAGGAGGTGAGGTGACACCATGGACAGGAAGGACATTGCATTGGCACCTGCTGAAGAGCTTCGTAGAAGCTAGTATGCTGAGGTTGGGAAGGTAGGTAATGTGCTGGCCAGCTTTGTACCAGCCCAGATCAGCTTGTGCACCATCTTTGGGAAACACTTCTTTTTATTTTATTTCTAGGAAATATAGAGGCAAATATAAGACTGCAATATAGTTATGATATTGCCCTTAGGGCAATATTTGCATATTTGGGTTAGTCCCTTATCACTTTTAGGCCTAGGTCTTGACTGCCTACAACCAAGTATATTTTTTCTAGTTCTTATTTATAGTATACTGTTATTTTTATGTTTGTATTCTTGTGTCAAGCTATCTCAAAGCCTTGTGGAACAAGGCAAAGGATATAAATAAATAAAATATCTCACATGACTTTCTCTGCCACGCATGCCATTACTGACTTCATCTCTAGGGAGTGGATAGATCTGGTATTTTATAAAGGACAGCTCCAAAACAGGTGTGTCAGTGATGTCTTGTTGTTTTAGATCTGCTGTGTGACACTTCCTGATTTATGAAATGCTGCAGAGAAACCATCTCATTTAGTAAGCATGATATACCTATGAAAAGAGCAGACTCAAAGAATTTGGTAGATGTGTTAGAAGATCAGTTCTGAGTCCAGGTCTCAAGAACTCACAGTTTCTCTCTCTCTTCTCATTCTCATTTTCTGTTCCCTCTCTCCTTATCTTTCTCTCTCTTATTCCCTTTTTCCCTCTTCTCCCTTCTTTCCTCTCCCATCTCTTTTATCTCTCTTCTCCTCCCCAACCGCCACAGCCACTTCTCTACTATTATGAGAACAATCCAGGACTAGCCTACTGGGGGCTGAGATAAACCTCATGAAGCAGAATCACTTTGTCACAGTGGAGGCCGTCCTAGACTCATTGGGCCCCATGCGACTCATCAGCTGAACACAGATGGATGGCCAAGGGCTGCTGAGAGCAATTGAGCCTGGCCCAGATCAGCACACCCACCTAGCCACATATCTGTGAGAAATAGTAAGTAGTTGTTATTTCAAGCCATTATGTTTTGGGGTGGTTTGTTACATGGCAATCGCCACCTGATACAGAGACTTGGAGACAGGTTACGTGACAGAGTTGGTGGCAGAGCTAGGAGTAGAGTCAGGCTGATGCTGTTTCTTTTTAATTTGTTTTAAATTTTTGTGGCTACATAGTAGGTGTATATATTTATGGGTACGTGAGATGTTTTGATACAGGCATGCAATGTGTAATAATTACATCAAAGAAAATGGGTATCCATCCCCTAGCCTGCTGCTTATTCTTGGTCAAGGTGTTTGATACAATGCTCTGCTACTGAACCCATGTCTTCCCCTTCACCAGGTGACCTCTTATCTTCTGAAAAGTAACCTCTGGTGCATTCTGTCCCTCAGGGAGTCAATCATGGCCACATGGGTACATGGATGAACATTCTTCTGCAAAGAAGATCTATTTAAATTTTGCAAAATGTATCTCTTTTTTTGGAAGAAATATCAAACAATCTTTGGCTGTTCTGTAACTGTCTGGCAAGTCCATCTGCCTGTTTTTTACATAAAATTTTCATAAACCAAAATCAAATGAACTTTATTTGATTTTTCATCTTAGTAGCAGTAATATGAGACCCTACACATTATCATATAGAGGTCAGGAGCTCCATCAGAGTAATTTCCCAACATTGTTTTGACTTTCTGGGAAGACTGAAGGAATGTTTTGAGATGGATCTCCTTCTCACCCCACTTTGGCTTGATGCTTCACTTCTGATTATTGTGGTGCAAAGATGTCAACCTACAGCTTATAGTAGGCTTGATTTCTAAGGTCATGCTCATCTGCAGGCTTTGTAAAATCTCAAAACAACACAGTAAGAAAGGTCACTTAACAATAAGATAATTCACATGTTTCCTCCCCATGAATGAAGTTTGGTGTAAAAAGAAGCAAAAATAGTGCCAGAAATAAATTACTGACTTATAAACATGTTTATTAAATGCGTCATACTTGGAGCACCAGATGTGAGGAAGACAAAGGCTAAATGCCAGCAGCAGGATTGCTAAGTAAATTATTTGGCTTGTTGCTGGTAATGAGAGACTCTACTTGGTGGGAGCTGCTGTGAAATTACATGTTTCTACTGTGTTTTTCCTCAGTGAACCATGATTGACTCTAGGAATTGTTTGGATAATCTCCCTCTTTGGTGTTGATAGAAAAAATAATTATCTTTAAAAGAAAATCTTGATAAGCCCAAATATTTTTTCTGAACTCACAATTTATGTCTTCATCAATAAAAGTGATAAATAAATTTATCAAGTGTAATTTGATTGCCTCTAATTCTCCCCTTTCTTCATACTTTGCAAAAAAAATACTGTTAATTTGAGTTATGCTGAAGACTTAAACTATAGTCTTCAAAACAGAAAATAGAATCTAGAAAGATGATACTGTCTGTTAGCATTTCTAAATCATATTTCTCCTGCAAAAATGGGCAAATCTTAAAATAAGGCTGCTGATTTGATTAGGCAGTCTAATAATTACACACCTCATGTACAATCTCCTATTCACAGATCTGGCATTCTTCCTATTTCTCCTTTAGAAAAATATTTTCTTGCTCAGTTGAGAAGAATAAGTCATTAGAGGCTCCAGTAAACAATTCTGTGTGGAGTGTCCATTTGAGCAAGCAGCTGTCCTTTGAAAATTGTCTTTATTGTTCGAGGCTCTCAATTTTGCAGCCAGGAGGTTATATAAAATCAATTAAGCCAGAGGATCTCTAGGTAATCAGCCCTGAGCACAGTTGCCCCAGCTGTGATTATTTGCCGACGGTGGCAGCTTACTCCTTTATTCCTGTGTTGCTCAGCCCCCACTTTAGCCTTCACCTCTTGGCAGCATTGTGCCTCCCAACCCAACCCCCATTGGCTTCTTTGCTTCACCACTCTTGCTGGTGCAGCCCAGGCTGCTATCTCCCTGGGTGTCACCCCAGCTCCTGCTTTCAAGGGATACAAGGAGAATGCCCTGCTGGGTTAAGAGGTTGTGGCTTTCATTTCCTTCTCACCAGCAGATAGGAAGCTGGAAGGAGGTACTACAAATTGCAGCTGTTGCTGTGGCAACCAGGGCTGCTCCTCAGAAAAGCTGTTCCAGAGGAAAAGCTCCTTGAGTCTTTTGATCTTTCTGTGTCTTCCCCTTTTTTCAGCCCTTATGAGGCAACTCAAGCAATCATCTCTCCTAAGCACCCCATCCACTTCTCCCATGACAAGGAAGTCATTCACACTGAGGATTCGACAATAGAGGAGCCTTCCTGCACTACTCTGCTCAGAGGCATTGTCCTTGAATAAGGCATACATCCTGTAACCAGAAGAACATGCCATATCATAACGTCTAATATTGTAATTCTATGCATCATTTGGCTGGGTGGGGAAAGTATTTTGAGGTGTAGGGTAGGATAGAGAACTTGTCCATTCATTTGTCGAGTGCTTATTGGATACTCACCAGGGAGTGAGTACCAGGCAAAATGCTAAGCACTGGGGTTTCGGAGACAAATAAGACAGTGTTGATACCTCTCACAGTCTGGTGGAGAGGCAGATATAAAAAGAAATGTTCACAATAAAGCAATGCAGGTGTTTAATAAAAGTCTATCTGGGGCTTCTAAGGCATGAGGGAGGGTGTGTGTGGGCAGCCGGGGAAGCCTCTTGACAGAAGTGTCATGAGAGAGAGAGGGTGTGTGGTAAGTACACACATTACTTTGGAGGACTCTTAAATCTTCTCTTGAATCCAATATCTTAGCTTCATTTATGGCTAGTTGGTCAACACCTCAGTAGGTCCAGAGAGCCTTTGTGAAATATAATGTAAATATGAGGCAAAGACAGCTGATGGTCTCTCCCTTATGAGTCTCTGGAAGGTGGTGATGATAGTCCTGGAAGCAGGGCTGGTGGGGACTGGGAATGGAAAGAAAGGTCTCACTAGAATATTCAGCTAGACCTCCTCGGGGAAGTGAGGGGTAATCACTGGAGGCTAGTGTGGGAGGAGTAATCACGGAGCTCCTGGCTACAGAACTCCTGGGTGTGTGGTGTTCGGGAAACTGAAACTGGGTGGGGACACTGATGGGAAAAGATCTGCCTGACTATTATTAAGGGCATGTATGCAGTGTCATGATTAACTGCAGGGCTTTGGATTCCAACAGATTGGAGTTTGTCTTGACTCTGCCACCACTAACTGGAGACTCTGAACAAGGTAGCAATCCTTCTGGGCCTGTTTCTTCAGGTGTAAAAGGGGATTATGTCTATGGGCTGAATTGCACCCCCCATTCATATATTGAAGTCCTAACACCAAGTACCTCAAAATATGACTGTGTTTGGAGATAGAGCCTTTAAGGAGGTATTGAGTTAGAATGAGGTCACAATTCTGGGCCCTAATCCAATATGACCGATGTCCTTTTAGGAAGAGGAAATTTAGATACAGACATGTACAGAGGGAAAAATGATGTGAAGAAACAGGGAGAAGACAAACCAGGGAGAGGGGCCTGGAATAGATCCTTCCCTCATTGCCTTAGAAGGAACCAGCCCTGCCTACACCTTGGTCTTCAGAACTGTGAGAAATAAATCTCTCTCTTTTTTAAGCCACCTAGTCTGTGATAGTTTGTTATGACAGCCCAAGTTAACTAATCTATTGAGAAGATAAATTCATCTAATTTATATGATGAACTAAAACGCATGATAATAATCATTATATGGTTGCTATAATTAGCAATAGCATTAAGGTTGGCTCTAATTAGGAACAAATCCTAACTCACTTGCATTATTGGATTATTAAGGCTATGAAGATTAATTGATTTCTCTGGTTAACTGGGTGTCAGAGGATGCCTTGTTTCCATTCTGATGATGACATCTTTTAAACATGCCTCATCCATCTTTATACTGATTAGAATTGAAGCTTTTTGTGATTTGTGGGCTCAAATGCCTTTCTTTGATTACAAGAGATTGAAACTGCATGCATACTCTTTCTGAAAAGAAGTTTTGTTTTGTTTTTAACAAGCCAATTATGTCAATGTTTTCTAATAATTTGCTCCTTTTCTTCATAATGAAGTGCTGAAAACTCAAGTTAGCTTTAAGTTTCTAGGTAATTGGACAAATCCATTGTGTTAGTATTCTTTACTTTCCATGAGCACATTTTGTAAAACATAGTCTTATATATTGCTATACACTGTAAGAACTCAAACTTGTTTCTGAAACTTTAATTATAATAAAAATATGCAAATTGCTTCACTAGTTATGGACCAGCTGCTTCTAAACAGTTAACAAACAGATCATGTAAATATTTTTGGTTAGGAGAAACACCATGCTCCCAACAACAACAAGACCCAGAAGAAACAGAATTATATTTACAATTTTCTGGATTATATTTCTCAATTGGGTTTATGGGAGCTGGTACAAAACAGCAAATTGTACTTTATCACTCACTTGTTTCCACTTATCTTTTAAGAGAAAACTTTATTTAGCATCTTTCTCTCTCTTGAGGAGGAGGTCACAGAACAAATCATCTCTACTGGTTCTTACCTATCCAAGAAAATTCTGCACATGGAAATTCAAGTAAAGAAAGGGAGAAAGGACAACTATGGAAAGATACAACTCAGTTTCAGAAGGAGGGAATAAAAGACCAGTGGACCATATCTTTGAAAGATGTGGTAAATTAAAATGCCACTCCTTCCATGAGGAGGTGGAGCCCAGTACATTAACCCCATGCATTGGGAATATTCTGAGCTGTACTTGCAACTAGCTTTGGCCAGTAGAATGTGAGAGAACAAACATTGTATAATTTCCAAGCAAGGCTTCAAGAGGACTTGTAACTTCTGCTATCACTTTCTTGCATGCATCATTGCTCTGAGAGTTTCATGGAAGGAAGTATAGTATAGCTGCCTTGAAGATGACAGAGCACACGAAAAGAGATCCCAGCTGACAGCCAGCATCAACTCTCAGACATGTGAGAGAGGCCATCTTAGATTCTCCAGGTCCAGTCTCAGGCAGGACCAGGAGAAGAACAATCTAGCCACGTACATCCCAAACTGCTGATGTGCAAAATCAAGAGTTGGTAAAAGGGATGCTAATTTAAGTCACTAAGTTTTGGGCTGTTTGTTATACAGCAGTAAGAAACTGATACAAAAGCACTTGGGACATAGAAAAAAACATTTTACAAAATTCAACATTGTCATAGTAAAAACAACAAACTAGGAATAGAAGGGAATTTCCTCTACATGATAAAGGATGTCTATGAAAACTCACAGTAAATATCATACTTAATGATGAAAGATTTTCCCCTTTAAGGTCATGAACAAGACAAAAATGTCCACTTTTCTATTTCTATTCAGCATTGTACCAGAGATTCTAGCCAGGACAAGTAGGGAAGAAAAAGAAGTAAGAGACATCTAGATTAGAAAGGAAAAATAATACATATTATTTGAAGGGGACGTGATCTTGTAGATAGAAAATCTTAGAAGTCCACTAAAAATATTACCACAAATAAACAAATTTAGCAAGAAGCAAGACACAAAATTAGTATGCAAATATCCCTTGTATTTCTATACACTTGCAATGACCAATGAAAAAATTAAATTAAGAAAGTAATTCCATTTAGAGGAGCATCAACAATAATAAAATACTTTTAAATAAGCTTAGCAAAAGAAGTGCAAAACTTGTAAAATGAAGACTACAAAACATGGTTGAAAGAAATTAAAGCTCTCAGTAAATGGAAAGACATTCATGTTTATGGATAAAAAGACTCACTCTCTTTAAGATGGTAGTACTACTCAAACTAATCTACAGATTCAACACAATTTTATAATCTTTTTCAAGGTCACAGTTGGCTTTTTTGAGCAGAAATTGACAGGCTGATCCTAAAATTCAAATAGGAATGAAAACAAACTAGAGTAACTGAAACTTTCTTGGAAAAGAACAAAATTGGAGGACTGACACTTCCAGATTTTAAAACTTACTACAAATTTATAGTAATCAAGACAGTGTACTGTTACTGACAAAAAAACAGACATATGATAAATGGAATAGAATTGGGAATACTGAAAAAAGACCTTGCAGTTATGCTCAACTGATTTTCAGTAATGACATCTAGCCAATTAAATTGAGAAAGGACAATATTTTTAAGAAATGATACTGGGGCAAATGGATATTCACATGCAAAAGAATAAAGTTGGAATCCTACCTCACATCATACATAAACTCAAAATTGTTGATAGAAGATCTAAAAGTGTAAAACTCTTAGAAGAAAACTATAAGAACAAATCTTTAAGACATTGGATTAGGCAAAGATTTCTTTGATACAAAGTTAAAAGCACAAGTGACAAAAATACAAAAATTGAATTTTATCAAAATTAAAAATATTTATGCTTTAAATGACTTTATCGAGAAAGTGAAAGAAAAACATGCAGAATATAAGAAAACATTTAAAAATCATATTTCTGATAAAGGATTTGTATCCAGAATATATAATGAAACTTACAACTCAAGAAGAGAAAGAACCCAAATGAGAAAAAAAATGGATGAAGAGTTTGAATAGACATTTATGCAAACAAGATATAAAAATGGCCAATAAGGGCATGGAAAAATGCTCAACATCACTAATTATTAGGAAAATCAAAACTACAATGACATAACACTTCACATCCACTAGTATGGCTATGCTAAAAAATACAGTTGTTGGGTAGGATGTGGAGAAATTGGAGCCCTCATATTTTGCTGGCAGGAATGTAAAATGGTGCAGCCACTTAGAAAAACACTTTGATAGTTTCTCAAAATGTTAAACAGGTTTATCAATGACCCAGCAATTCCAATCCTAGGTGAGAATAGCTTAAGATAAATAAACATATGTCCAGAAAAATGTGTACATGAATGTTCAAAGCAGCATTACTCATAATAGCCAGAAAGTAGAAACAACCCAAACATCCATCAAAATGGATCAACAAAATGTGCTATATTTATACAATAGAATATTACTCAGCCATAAAAAGAATTAAGTACTAACAGTTGCTACAACATGTACATTATGCTAAGTGGAAGAAGCCAGTCACAAAAGACCACATATTTTATAATTTTATTTCTATAAAATGTCCAGAATAGGCAGATCTATAGAGACAGAAAGTAGATTAGTAGTTGCTTAGGGCTGGTGCATAGGTAGGAAGGAGGAAGAATGTGAAGTGGCTGATAATGGTATGAGGTTTCATTTGGGGGTGATGAAGATGTTCTAAATTTAGATTGTGGTGACAGCTGCACAATTCTGTGGATATACTAAAAATCAATTAACTGCATTTTAAATGGGTGAATTTTATGGTACATGAATAAAATCTCAATAAAGATGTTTTTATTTTTATTTATTTATTTATTTTGAGACAGAGTCTTGCTCTGTCACCCAGGCTGAAGTGCAGTGGCACGATGTGGCTCACTGCAACATCCACCTCCTAGATTCAAGCGATCCTTCCACCTAAGCCTCCCAAGTAGCTGGGATTACAAGCATGCAGCACATGCTTGGCTAATTTTTGTACTTTTTAGTAGAGATGGGGGTTTTATCATGTTGGCCAGGCTGATCCCGAACTCCTGACCTCAAGTGATCCACCTTCCTCAGCCTCCCAAAATGCTGGGATTACCCGCGTGAACCACTGTGCCAGGCCCAATACAGCTGTTTTTTAAAAAGTGCATAGGAGACTGTTCAGCCTATGGAGTAGTCATTTTTTTATTTCTTTACTTCTCTAAGAAACTTGCTTTCACTAAAAAAAAAGTGCGTAGGAGCTCAGACCTTTATCTAGTGTGCTTTTTGTTGACATACCTGCTTTATTCTCCACAAACATCTAACCATCTTCAGTGCTCTGGAATGGTGTGATTCAGTTGCCATTTTATAAAAGAGACCTCACTAACCTATCCTAAGGGCCCCACCATGGATAATACCAAAATCTCATGTAAGATAGCTGGCTTACCCAGACAGGGTCTAACAGCACAGGCTTCATCCATGCAGCAAGCTTCATTAGTATGGTTTCATGCCAGCCACCATTCTGTGAGCCAGGACACAAGGGAAAACTGGACATAATCCTTTTCCACAGAGAGTGCCTGGCACATAGGAATTCAGATTTGCAAGCAATTACTGTGCAGAGTGCTATGATCACTGCCAACTTAGTGGTAGGCAGGTGGGAAATCCATGGCAGTGCAGAGGAAGGTTGAGGGACAAATCTATTTGGAAGAATCAGGTAAGCTGTACCAAGAAACTAACTCAGGAGCTGGGCTTGAAGAATCAGTGGGAGATGGAAAGTAGGCAGTGCTTGTGTTGGTGTGCAGAGGAAAGAGCTTTGTAGACCTGGACAACAGACAGAGACATTGGCATAGACAATATGGTACATGGAGATCTGGAATATTTCGGGAAGAGTTGGAGCTGAGTTTCCTGAAGGAAGAATGGATGGAGGGGAGGCTGTGGAGAAGTGGCAGAGGCTGATTAGGAAAGTCTTGCTGGTAAAGAAATTGTCCTTACTCTGGATGTGATAGAGTTGCATCTGGGTTTTGGAGATATCATTCAAGTGGCAGTGAGGGAGAGGAACAGGATATAGGAGAAAAAAAAAAGGGTAAACAGACCAGGTACATAATTATTAAAATAGTAGTCCAAATGAAAGATGGTGTCCAGCTGTAAATTTTTTTGTTTTTTAGACAGTCTCACTCTGACGCCCAGGCCGCAGTGCAATGGCTCGATCTTAGCTCACAGCAATATCCACCTCCTGGGTTCAAGCGATTCTTGTTCTTCGTCTTTCCGAGTACCTGGGATTACAGGAGCGTGCCACCACGCCCGGCTAATTTTTGTATTTTTAGTAGCGACAGGGTTTCGCTATGTTTGCCAGGCTGGTCTTAAACTTCTGACCTTAAATGATCCACCCACCTCGGCCTCTCAAAGTGCTGGGATTACAGATGTGACCCACCACACCTGACCCAACTGTAAATTAAATATTTATGAAATGATTGAATGACTCAAAAGTTGGTATGTATTTCTTCTATTTCCTTTCCTCAGGGGATGACTAAAGATATAGATGAGTTTGAGGTAGGATGGAGGGAGTTAAGGGAGTTCATGCTGGGAAATGTCTTTTGTTTTTTCCAGAATCTTGGTCTCAACTCATAACATTCACAAAGTAAGAGGAAGATGAGGGAATGTACCTAGCTTTGAGAAGTCCTAGTGCATTTTTCTCCATATTTAAGAAGAATTTGCATGCCAGTAAGGCTTAGTGTTGCCGTTTCTTCTCCTGAGTAGACACTTCTCTGACAACTCCTCTCTTTTGAGATAAAAATTTTTGATTTAAAGTATTTATCCATGTTAGTGAAAGTAATAAGTTGTATAAGGATGTGTACTGACAAACTAAAAGCTTGAAAACATGCAAAATTTTAGTATATGCCACATAGAGATTCATACATGTAGAGTGAAAAATAGAGATATGCATGGGACCCTCCCAGTTACCCTGATATAATCATGACATATTGTGTGCATGCATCAAAGTATCACATGTATCCCATAAATAGGCACAATTATTATGTATCAATATAAAAGATATGCATGGGAATGGAAACACAAAACAGGATGGTGACTACCTTTGGCAGAAAGTGAGGGCACAGAAATGGGAAGAAAAAACAGGGATTCTAGCAACTGAATGTTCCCCAAATTTGTGTGTTGAGATCCTAACCCCCAAGGTGATGGTATTAGGAGGTGAGGCCTTTGGAAGGTGATTAGGTCACAAGGATGGAGCCCTCATGAATAGGATTAATGCCTCAAAAGAGAGATCCTAGGGAGCTCCTTTTCCTCTTCTACTGTGTGAAATTACAGTGAGAAGACAGCCACCTGTGAACCAAAAGTGGGCCTTCACCAGACATGGAATGTGCCAGCACCTTAATCTTGGACTTTCCAGATACATGAACTATGAGAAATAAGTTTCTGTTGTTTACAGGCCGCCCAGTTTATGATATTTTGTTTTAGCAGCCTAAACAGAGTATGGCAAGGGGTCTCAACCGGGCACTGTATGTATATGATTTATTTGTTAAGCTGACTGGTGGGTGTATGGGTTTTTGATGTTATTGTCTATACCTTTCTGTGTCTAAAATATTTTCAGATGAAAAATAAAAGTATGCAATGGAGTTTGTAATTAGCAATCTTCACTCTAGGCTGGAGCTTCCAAACGAATGTATGCTTCTGTACTTGAGGGTCTAGACTCCAGAGCCAGACTTCTTAGGCCCCAAGCCTTTCTCCATCACTCATAGCTGTGTGACATGAGGCAAGTCTCTTCACATTTCTATGCCTGAGTCTTCCCATCCATAAAATGAATCTTCCTAAATCTCAAGGATATTATAAGCGTTACATGATTTATTGTATGTAAAGTGCTTAAAATAGTGCCTGGCATGTGATAAATGCTTAAATGATGTCAGTTGTTATAATTTACAAACCAAGTGATTTGCTGACATCGATTATTTCAGCTGCTTCTCATGGCTAAATATATGTGCTAGGTTAATTATTCAGGGTAGTTATCCCAACAAATGCTTTTTGCTATTGCCCTCCGCACACTTTCTTTTAGGAGGTACAGAGCAACTTGTTTCCAGAGAGCATTCAGAGTGAAGAACTGAGAAATAAATTGTTTGACTTTGGTTTTCAAAAGTCTAAGCCCGAAGGGCTACTGAGAGGACTCTGGATATAAGGCAAACATTTGGAG